GGGTGCACCACGTGGAGGTAAGTCTATCGCACACCCTGAGCTTTTAATACATGTGAACAAGACCACAATATTGCCAGAGGTAAGTTGGATAATTAATATCGAATGAATAATCCCATGTTTGGCACGGCTATGATTCATAAGAAGATAGGTGAATTTGATTGGGTCGCAAGGATTGCAGCACCATTCAAGGAGATGAGTAGGTAGGGAAATATTTTCAGCAAGAAATCTTCATTACCCTACTGTCTATGCGGTGAAGTGCACTATTACAGAGGTTGTCCTTACAGAAATCATATTTGTTATGTCTGCGGCACGGAATGCCAGAAAGAACTAAAATACTGAGAAGATACAGTAGATTGTTTGGAAGAAAATAAAGATGTCTGGAATTCTCTCAGGATCTAACGTCACTGTGACCTCAAGGAAAAAATTAATGAAGAGCCTTGGACTGTTCAGTGCTGAAATCGAAGAAAGCTATGTGGCTGTAGAGGCTTCTGATGATGGTGTGCTACAAATAACTCAAATTGCTCCCTATTAAATCAATCTAACTTGAATCTCCAGGGTCTAAATTAATTGAACTCATTGAAACTGTCGAAGAAGATTATTTGCCTCCTTATTGAAAACTTTTCTGTGACTCAGGTGTCAAAATAAAAATCCAGCTTTAAGAAGCCTAGAAATCGAAAAGAAACTCATACATATAGTTTCAGTAAACATTATTAATAAAACAGATATGAGAAACGGATTCAATATTGGAACAACTAGAAATATACAAGACAAAACCCAAAAATTTCTTTCAGTTATCTCAGGCAATCAAGGTCGTTGGATATCCCTTCAAAACAATTTGCATTGAATTAGAACCGAATCTCTCTGGAAATACGGTACGCATAAAAAATGTTCCAGTTATCAGGAAGGTAATAAAATTTGTAAAAACGAGACAATCCTTCTTATCGCTAAAAGGGGTCCTGTATCATTCCACAATCGCATTGAACTATCTATTGTAGACTCCTGTTTAATGTTTAATGAGAGCTGTCATACCGCTTGCCCTCATTGAAAGAATCCCTAGACAATTTCAATCGAGTCATCCAGAAAGTAGTCGAAAAAAGAGTTAACCAGAGGATGCATATACCTTCCGGAAATTGACAAAGACCTAGAAATACTTTTCAGAGGGTTTTTTATGTCAAGACGCAGTTAGAACTCCTCCCTGTGCAAAAACAGTTGCCTTTGTCCAATCGAAAACACCATTGAGTAGACTGGAAGTTGATTTCGATGATTCTGGCAATGTGGTTATCAGCATAGTGTTGGTACACTCACACTTAAAGTGGCAGAAAGTAATATAAATGTCACCAACGAATACTACAGCATATACTAGTGACCTTGATTACATTTTCACCACACATGCTTCTGCCGATATTTCGGTGCCAGACAACGTAACACAGTTCTGTTTGTCGCATTTCTGCAAACACTACGGACTTAGCACTATTTATCAGTTAGAAGTATATAGCCAGCTAGAGTGGTTTGTGGCCACACTGAATTTGGTACTACTGAAAGCAAAATAAGATGGAGGGATGTAGGAAGTTACTTGAATGTGCTTGTTCATCAACAGGAAGACTCCTCATACTCACCACGCTCAATGAAACTACCAGTGGAAAGAACAACCCCAGTAATCTATCATAGGGGTGTGCGATAGACTTACCTCCACGTGGTGCACCCTGGATAACGTATACTCATACGGCAAAAAAGTCTATTGACCGGCAGTTGACTTCTCATTTCAAACTACCTTGATCCAACTGTATATCATATTAAACCACTCCTACAGTATTCACCTCACCTTTTTCTAACCTTTTCTGTCTCTTTTACATCTTTGAAACACTCTTCTGTTCCTCACCCACTCTCGACTATTTTTCTCTCTTTGACATTCCTTCCCCTCAGTGAAGCCTGAAGTCAACTAAAGGGCTAACGATAGCTATCGTAACGCCTGCCATTTGATATAAATAAAAAAATAATCTCTCTTGCGTTGATATTCACTGGCGTTGATCTCGTGCTGGTTAGTGATTTCGAATTAGTCATCCCTGGAAGGATAGAGAAGCAATCAATGAAATTGAGGCAAATAATGCTACTTTGAGGATGAAAAATTTCAACTGAAGTCACGTACTGTTAGCACAATATCAAGGTCAGTGTCAACCTCACTTTATCTTCTACTGGACTCTTCAATCCACTATCAAATAGTTATGATAAGGCTAGAGAAAAAACTCCAGACCAGCGGATATACTGCTTTTCCCATTTTTAACGTAAATAATGTTTATTCGGTAAACTGTGTTTCCAAACTACTGTACAATATTGTATAGCGTACACTTGGTTGAAGATGACTGGATATCGTTGCATCCATCTAGAAAAACGTATGTTTAACTCTCGATTCAAATACATTCCCCTATTTGCACCTACTGGACATTCAGGCCCTCCTATTTGTTCCTGGTTGGTAAGTGAACCTTGGATGGTTCTTTGCCCACTTAACNGGAAGAAAAGAAGGACGATGGTAGGAAGAATAATGGAAAAAACGCAATTTATTATGCTTTGATTAAAATTTCGGTTCAAAAAATCCATCTTTTTAGTTTAGCATGCATTTTGTACTTTAGGAACCGTTTTAACGATTTTACACTTTTAAATCCAATATATGTAAGCGTTTTGGTATTAATAAATAATATATTTATATTAAATATTTGTCTTAACTAGAGGAAGCACTAGAGGCAGAACTGAAACTACTCGACACCCTTCCGGAGGAAATCAGAGCCCGCTTTCCATTCTACCCTCCATTGAAGTGGGAGGATAGAGAGGAATTGAAGAAGTTGGCTGAAGATTCAGAAGCTGAATTGCGCAATTTCATTAGAGGAATGAAGGACGATTACTATGTTGAAGATCACATCATTGTGGAGTAAATACATTCTTCCTATATTGCACTTTTAACAAAAAATTATGTAATTATTTTAAGTATTCTCTCATAAGGTATCTTCGGCAAAAGTTGCTCTCAAAGCCATGTCAAAATCAGGGCTTTGTTCTGGATGGTTGGCCTAATACATTTGAACAGGTGGAAGCATTATTTAAAGGTTAGATTTACTTATGATAAAATTAATTTATTTATATCAAATGGCAGGCGCTTTGATGGTTATCATTAGCCCTTTAGTTGACTTCAGGCTCCACAGAGGGGAAGGAACATCAAAGTGAAAAAAAGCTGAGAGGGAGGAAGGGGGGGGGATAGAAGAGTGTTTCAAAGATGTAAAAGAGACAGACACAAAGGTGGAAAACATCAAAGTGAAAAAAGTCGAGAGGGGGAGGGGGGGGGAACAAAAGAGTGTTTCAAAGATGTAAAAGAGACAGACACAAAGTTTGAAGAGTGTTTCAAAGATGTAAAAGAGACAGACACAAAGGTAGTGTTTCAAAGATGTAAAAGAGACAGACATAAAGGTAGAGAAAAGGTAAGATGAATACCGTGTTTCAAAGATGTAAAAGAGACAGACACAAAGGTATAAAAAAGGTAAGATGAGTACTGTAGAGTGGTGTAATATGACATAGTTAGAAGTCAGAAGTCAACTGCCGATTGATAGACTTTTTTTTGCCGTATGAGAATACGTTGCCCAGGGTGCACCATATGAAGGTAAGTCTATCGCGCACCCCTATAATAAAATTAAAAATCACCTCATTAGTATTAATTACATGAGTTTATACACCCAAAAATACACAGTGGAATAGTCCACTGAAAAGTATCGAGAAGGCGTTAGATGGAGTCGAAAAGACTGGTCATCGACAGAGTCCGACATCGTTATATTCCCTACCTTACTAGGTCTTGCTCGACATTCTAAATCTAAACATGAATGTTTCGATTTCGGCTTTATGAACAGCTATTTGTCTCAATTTCCCGGATTTACTGAGTGGATGATTAAGAAGAATCACTAATAATAATGGAACTTTGACAAATTTGCCTTTTCGATTAGTCAAACTCAGCTAGTTTCACCATTATACCAATCACTAGAGTTCATTCAAAGTTAAATCTACTACTAGGAATGCTTGTTCCTTAACTTTGTTTTCTTGCAGATCCAAATGAAACGACCGAGGATCCCCGAAATCCTACCTACGATCCTCAGATTTCCCCTCACCATGTTATTTACTTAAATGCCAGCAATTCACTTGTAAAACATCGCTTCAAGACAATAATGGAGGGTCAGGACAATAGCATAGATGAAATCGACAATCTCAACGAGCAGGAGGGTCTCTCCTTGGATGTGGAGGAAGAAATTCGTAGGAGAAGGAAGGAATCCGATGATGCTAAAAAGAGACGAGAGGTAACCTTTCAACTGTTTAAGGTCCAGAGAGTTCACTGCATTGTGTTTGTATTATAAAAAAATGACAAAATTTGTAGGCGAAAAAGAAGAAACTTCCAAGGAAGGCAATAGATTTGAGAATAAAATGGAAAAAGGAGCCTGAATCAGCAGAAAGAAGGTTACGAAGACGCATGGAAGCTCATAGGTCTGCCATGGCTCCGAATGCATCGAAAGAGATTTTTAAGGAAGTGTTTGAGCCTTTTAGATACTGTGAGTGATGAATCTTGTCTTTTCAGTCTAAATATGTTCTTTCTCGAGATTTTTATGGTATTGGCATTGCAAACAAAGAAGGCATGAGAAAATCGGGTTTGAATGCTTGATTAGAAAATCAAAGTGTGTATTTCATGTAATAATGTTTAAAATTGATCTGGATAAGCAATTTTCGTTTTTTGGTCTTGTTTTACTGAATTTTGCGGTGATGAAATGACATAAATTATTTTTTGTCCAATTGAAGTATTTCTTACAATGAAGGTGGTGTTTACTTTTTAGTGGTAAAAAATAAGAAGAAACTTGATGACCTTAGACCATTTCCGCGCCCTCGAAAGCCCCTCGCAAGCAAAGATTTCGATCCGCTTGAAGAAAATGTTATCACCTACTTCGATTTACGCGAAATTTATCCTTTCATAATAGATATGGATCTAGATAAAAGCCATGTAAGATGATTGGATGATAAGGAAACTACTTAAATTAATATTCATTTATATTAAACGGCAGGCTTTATGATAGTTATCATTAGCCCTTTGTTTAACTCCGGCCTTCACAGAGAGGAGAAACATCTAAGTCACTAAAAGTCGAGAGGGGGAGGGGTGAACAGAAGAGTGATTCACAGATGTAAGAACCAGACAGACAGACACAAAGGTAGAGAGTAGGATAAGGTGAGTAATGTGAAGTGATCAAATATGACATGCAATCGGGTCATGGTAGTTTGAAGTCAGAAGTCGACCGCCAATTTATAGACATGTTCCCGTATGAGTGCACCACGTGGAAATAAGTCTATCGCGCACCCCCACTTAAACCAATATCAAGAACATAATTTTACGATTATCTGAACTTGAGAGAAAAATATTTTTTCATTAATAAATCGTACTCGTGCTAATTGTGTAGACTAATCTTTGATTGTATGTTTAGCAACTTTACCCTGGCGGACCCCAGAAGGCAACCTTTAATCGAATTTTGAAGAGAATATCTAATTCTCCAACGGGAGATCTCTTTCGTCGAATGAAGGGGATTTTGGATCCTTCGAATGATGATGAAACATTTGTTCGGAATCTTGCGAAAGAAATGAGAGACGCAGATGAGTACAGCAGGAATCTGCGAAAGGAATCAGGTGATGTATTAGATGAAAATGAGAGGAAAATTTGGGTAGGTCTCCCATAAGAGCTTCCAATAATGTGCTCAAATTTTCTGCAATTTAAACACTTTAATTTGTGTAGCATGAGTGGTTAAAGCTCTTAAAGAACGAGAATGACCAGCGTCATATGGTGAGAAACATGCCACGAAGAAACTACCTCCTTAAATACTTCCTACCAAAGATTTCGGATTGTCTTGTCAACTATGGCCTCAGAAGACCCAGTGATCCAGTGGACTTTTTGGTAAGATGCCTCGTCAAATGGAAGGTGTTTAACGAGGGAAATAAAATAGACGGGGAATAGGGACTTCGTTTCCGTCCTCAGCTTTTTTACTTCAGGGTTTCAATGACTCTGTTTGAGTATGTCATGCATTATGTTCCAAAGTTAATAATTCATAATTTGAGTCAAAAGGTCTTCGGTGTCCAAATCTTCGTTACAATTTACCTCGTACGCCAGCCTAATTGTCAAGGTGTTTTAGCACATAAAGCGCATACATTGAAACATTTCTCGCATTGACGGTAAACATTAGTGAAAGTAGAATTAACCTCTTTAAGTAATAATAGGAGACCAATTAAACAGCAAAATTATTCGTTGAGAATTCATTTATTTCAAATGGCAGGCGTTTTGATAATTATCGTTAGCTCTTTAGCAGACTTTGAGCTTCACAGAGAGGAGGAGGAGAAGAAGCATCAAAGTGACAAAAAGTTGAGAGGGGGACGGAATAATGATTCACAGATGTAAGAGATAGAAAGGTACAAAGGCAGAGAAAGGGTAAGATGAGTACTGTAGAAGTGGT